TTGGTGAGCACCAAAGCCCCAGTGAAGCAAGTCCTGCAATAGGGTTGACTGCTGCAGAGCCAATCCACTATTTTAGTCACAGGTGGCCCTCACAGCCGACCAGTCTGAGTATCAATCCCTTCCAGTGATGCCAACAGAAATCAAGGCTCAACTGCAACAGGAGGGTGTACACAGCTCACACAGGGACACAGCTGGAGCACCCAGCTCAGGTAACTAGGGAAGCTGCACCACTGGGCCCTATAGGCCACGTACTACACAAGGCCAATCAACCAAATCTGGGAGATGCAACATCTCTACCTAATACATAGAAACATAGGGAAGCAGCCAAAATAAGGAGACAAAGAAACAGGTCCCAAATGAATGAAAAGGAGAAATCTCCAGAAAAAGAACTAAATGAAACAGAGGCAAGCAAAATACCAGATACAGAATTCAAAACAATGGTTATGAGGATGTTCAAGAAATTTAATGAGAACTTCAAGGAACTTAGTGAGAACTTCAACAGCATAAAAAAGCACATAGAAAACATAAATAAGAAATGAAAGATACGCTAATAAATGAAGAATGATTTACAGGGAGTCAACAGTGAAGTAGATAAAGCCAAGAATTAAATCAGTGATTTGTAACATAAAGAAGAAAAAAATAACCAATTAGAATAGCCACAAAAAAAGGGCCCCCCAAATGAAGATAGTGTAGGGAGTCTCTGGGACAATTTCAAGGCTACCAACATTTGCATCATGGGGGTGGTGGAAGGAGAAGAGAGAAAAGCAAGAAATTGAAAACCTATTTGAAAAGATAATGAAAGAAAAATTCCCTAACCCAGTGAAGGAAATAGGCATAAAAGTCCAGGAAGTACAGAGTCCCTAACAAGCTTAACCCAAAGAGGCCCACACCAAGACATATCATAATTAAAATTCAAAGGTGTACACAGCCCACAAAGGGTTTAGCAAAGGGTTAAAAATACACAGAGAATCTTAAAAGCAGCAAGAGAAAAGCAGTTACCTACAAGGGAGCTCCCATATGAATGTCAGCTGATTTCTCCACAGAAACTTTATTGTCCAGAAGGTAGTTGTAAGAAATATTCAAAGTGATGAAAAGCAACTATCTACAAACAAGATTATGCTATCCAACAAAGCTATCATTTAGAATCAAAGGACATATAAAGAGCTTTCCAGACAAGAAAAATCTAGAGGAGTTCATCACCACCAAACAGTATTACATGAAATGTTACAGTCTCTTCTTTAAGAAGAAGAAAAAGAAAAAATCAAAAATATGAACAATAAAGTGGCAATAAATACATATCTATTAACAACTGAACCTAAAAAACAAAATAAGTAAACAAGCAGAACAGAAATAGACTCATAGATAAAGAGAACATTTTGATGGTTGCCAGTTGGGAGGGAGGTTGGGGGGATGGGTGAAAAAGGTGAAGAGATTAAGAAGTACAAATTGACAGCTACAGAATAATCATGGTGGTATGAAGTACAGCATAAGGAATATAGTCAATAATATTTCAATAACTATGTATGGCATTAGATGGGTACTAGATATATTGGGGTGGTCACTTAGTAAGTTATATAATGTCTAATCACTGGGGCATAATATAATACTGTATGTCACCTGTAATTGAAAAATAAAAAATAATTTAAAAAATGCATCCTGGGTTAGAGACAGTGACCAGTAAGATGATATATTCCAGATTCTCCTCCCTTTTTGACAGATAATTAAACTAGGACTAAACAGGTCAAGTGATTTGCTCTAAGCACAACACCCTGTGCTTCCACCAACTCGTATTTGGACGTGCTTTGCTCTACTTCACCAGCTGGTTATTCAAACAGAAGCTTTAAATTTCTTAGTCTGACCTAAAATTCCAAATAGTATTTAGTCATACAATTAGACAACTTATCATGACAATTTCTCTTGGCCATGATGCTCTTATTTCATTTAGAAATGCCAAAATACATCTAGTTAATGCATTAAATATAAAAAGACTTGTTAAAGAGACTCAATTTATTAATGATATAGTAGAACTTCCTAATGCATCTATTTGGACTTCATTTATAATTTATTTCACAGCTTAGCTGCAGTTCCCACAAGGCAAATATTTATCAAATATTACTGTTTTAAGTCCTCCTCTATATTTATTTGTAGAGGAATACGTTTTTTTCCAAATAAAAGCTAAACTTTCTAAAAGCATTCATCCACCTATTGTAATTTAATGTACATTTGCTGATAAGGTGACAGTAATGGGTTTCCAGATATAACAAAGTACACTGTGCAACCAAACAAAAGAATAAGTAGATTGACTCTGCTCTCATCAAACACTGCCATGCCGCTCAATCACATATGCTCACATTAGCATTGTCCAGGAGAATTCCAATCAAACTCTTGGCTTTGTTCACCAAGGAGTGTGGGCTTGTTCCTTCTCCATCTACTGAAGGTGTGTGGTTTCATGAGGCCCTTTCAGTAACACAGAAAACAAAGGTACCCAAGGAGAGCAGAACAGGACATCTGCACTAACTAATAACAGCAGTTACTACTGAGGAGCCTAGAAAGAGTCAGGCACAGTTTCAGGTATTTAACATGCATCACTTCACTAAGTATTGACAAGTTTATGAGGTAGGTATTATTAATCTTATCACTTTACAGATAAGGAAAGTTCAAATAAGTTAAGTAACCACCAAGTTAACATCATAGTTAAATAAGAGCCAGAGCTGGAATTCAAAGCCATATCATTTTATCCTATGGCACTTTCCAGTACATTATGTTGAATTAGATTTCCAATGGAAGAGTAATTGGGAAAGGAAATTAAAAATGAGGGAAGGTACTTTTTGACCAACACAATTATTTCACACATTCAAATAACAGAGGGTGCCAAAATGCATTCAATGCCATTCACACCTTCATTCACTCTTTCACATGTATATTAAGCATCTATTATGTGCCAGTGACAAAAATTATCTTTGAAAGATGCTAATTTTTTAAAAGAGAAAATTAAGGAATATGACCAACATATTAAAAGAGGGAGAGGAATGTACTGGACAAAGAGGAGATCAGAAAAGCATCAGTTGCTTTCTCAATAGCCTCATCCACTACCTTCATGCTCCTTAAATAAGACTTCAGAGGAAAAACCTGACACTCATTTTCATTGCCCTTTTTCTGTTGGGAAAACTGATGTATGGACTTTTAAGCCATACTGCTAAATCTTCTCTATAGTTTCTTCTATTCAGAGAATTGCTTGCCCCACAGACAATCTTTTCTCCTCTTCTTCATGGGGCAGAACAAGCGCTTGCCCAACTGCAGGCCTGACTAGGGAAGGGTGGAGAGTGGAGAGTCCAAGGCAGGATCTCCCAGGAATGAGCTGCGAGAGGTCAGGAACTGCTTGTGAGACCTCGAGTGTTCCATAAGCCCTAAGGCATTTATGTTCATTCAAGACTGATAATTCTGAAAGACTGAATGGTATGTGGAAGCAATTCATTTCACATTTTATGAAGCACTGTTTCACAGGGTAGAGAGTGTCATTTGCATAAATACATCTTAATTATGCCCTGAAATCCTAGAGGGATTTCCATTATGCCCAAACCACAGAGGTAAATCCTGTCAGAGGTACAAGATACTTTTCAACTCTTTTTTCTTCTAATAAAGAACAAAACTATTTTTTAAAAAAGAAAAAGAATAAGGAGAATATACATGGACTGTATCTTTGGAAGGATCAGCTATATTCTTAGAGATGTAAAAAGATCAATGCTGAGATGGTATGTAAGAAATATAATAAATTCACTTTAAGAGCTGAAGTTTTTTTAATGATATTTTAAGGTGGTATGCTAATCCAATATAATCACACAACAAGCTAGCAACAAACATTGCACACTATAGTATGCATCTTACGAATTCACAAGAAAACAGTTTGTCAATTAAAATTCTAAATAAGATTTGATGTACTATTAAGATTGAGCTATTCCAATAAATGCAATAATTTCAGAATAAAAGTTAAACAAGAGTTCAGAGAAAAAAACCTGATGCTAATTTTAATGACGAAATATTAATGGCTTTATAATGTAATTTCGATATCCAAAAGTTATTCCCACAATAGTTGCTATCAGAGTAAACATTAAAAGCCACAAATAAATAAAATTTAAGCAATATTTTTAAAATTAAATTTAAAATAAAGCATTAGTAACAACTATGTGAAATAAAATACCTATAATATATTATTCCTGACGAGTGTTTTAGCAATTACTGTTTTCATTTGTCGGAAGAATAAAGGACATGGCCAATTTCCACTCCTGATAATCTATGGTCAAGCCAAATACTCATATCTAAATTTTACTAAAATATATGTACTGATTACTCTCTATGACATTACTTAAAAATTGTTTTCCAAGTAGGCATATAGCAAGTATGATTCCTTTTAAAGTTATTTATTTATAGTGCCTATTCAAATTAATTGACTTCAATCTTTTTATTTTTATGAAATAAAATTGTGCTAGGGTAGGAAATAATTTTTGAGTTGGGATATGCTGTAGAAGATCTACTGAATTCCACAGTGCTTTCTAGCTCTCTGTATAAAAAGCTTTCATTTTAGGAAAATTTTATTTTGAAGATGTATGTATTTTTATAAAAATAGATGTTACAAAAGGAGAGTATAGAAATCTAACTGTTAATCATACCTTCAAAATCTAACCTTTTGTTTTAGCTACAGTGACTAAAAGTTATTTATTTATTTTTGCTCTGACAAAGAATAATAGAAAACAAAGACTTAATAGTTCTTGATAAACTGTTAAATGTTCTTACAGAATCTAAACATCAAAACTAAACAGGAGTGTATTAGAATCCCTCTTAAAGTCAGTGTGTCTAATCTATAGACACCTCAGCTGGAAATCTCTCTCCTCAAAGACACTTAACTAGAAATGAAGTCAGTTGAAGTTTTATTGTTCAACTATGCCAAGAAACCGAGGCCTCTGTAGCCAGCAAGTAATAACGCAATAATCTAAAATGCGTACCTTTATTCTTTGGTCATCCACTTCTATAATCGTAGCAACACGAATTAACCTGGGGTTTCGTTTATCCACAACTTCAAGTTTCATATTCGGCAGAAAACCATGAGGCAACCGCTGCAACATTACAAGTGCAGCAAGTCATACACATGTCAACAATTCTAATTAATTTTTTTCTAAAATATTATTGTGTTCTAGTTTTATGTTCAGAACTTTAGTATAAGTGGAATTTATTCTTCAGAGCACATAGGACTTTATGCCTATTATTTTATCCAGTTTCATAAAAGCCTGTGAGAAGAGAAAGAATTTTTTGTCATTTTCAAGACATTTAAAAGACAAAGATAGGTTAAATCATAAATTCATTAATGATCACATCAAGGTTCTAAAAGGATCTTATTACAGTTTATCTATTGGATTAGATTTTTTTCTGAAATTAACCTTATAAATTAAGAAATTGTTGATTATTTTCATGGCCCAGTTTTGGAGTGTATGACCCAGGAGGCAAAATTATTTAATATAGAAAGGATAAACATTATCCTTTATAAATCAAATTTTGAAATTAGATTTAAAAAACTTCATAATTTCAACTGTAAAACTATTATAAAATTATACCAAAATGTAATTTAAAGCCATAACCTATACTTTTGTTACTTTATATGTAACATAAGCATGTTAAATTGTATTAACTTAAAGTTTCTTCCAAGACTTAAAATGCCAGGAATCAGAAGTCTATAATCAGGCAATAACAAAGAAAATGAAGTCAGAAAATTATACCAGGATTTATACCAAAACTAAGGAAATTTAACAAAATCAAAGTCAAAAGACATTTCTGACAATATTTATGGGTTGGCAAAAAGTTTCACTTGAATGCTACTACACAGAAGAATGTTAAATTGACATTATTGAAAATGAAAGTGTATTGAACTCCTGAAGTCTAGAAATGGCAATAGGAAAATAAAACCCTCATAATACATAAGTAATAAACAGTTAAATCTTTCTCCAATATCTGGTTTGTTTCTCTCCAGCTTTTGTGGAAGCCTACTTTCTTTCTAAAATGCATCATTAAATCTACTAAATGGAGTATATGAACTATAAACTAGGCCTCTGATCCCAGAAAATCTTTCTGTTCTCCTGAAGGTCACTGTCCTGACAACAAAGGTGTTGTTTCATACTGCAGACGCCAAAGCTTGAAGTGAATCCATAATAACCCTAGAGTCAGAAAGTTGCCTTTTTAGCTAAATTTTTTCATTATTTTACTTTCTCATAAGTTTCCCTTTGGAAAAGTAAGAGAGGGAGAGGCTACAAGCAATTGGTATTTTTGCTAACTGAATTTTTTGAATTCTTAAAACCCTTTTTAACACTTCAGAACTTCTAGCCTTCTTAATTTAATTATATCTCTTCCCCCCCAAATGCAACCTATTACAATTGATTTTTTGAAAAATGAAATAGCATTTTGTTTTAAATCCCCTTTTATCACTAGAAAACTTTCAGCAAGTAAAATCATATGTAGAAGTTCACTATATAAAATTCTGCTTAAAGACGAGTTGCAGAGCCTGTAGCACACCATTCATTGGATCTGAAAGGGAAAAAAGTTTGAAAACCACTGTTGTAGAAAAGAAATACTTCTAACCACACTATCAACACCCTTTTTTTTTTTTTACAAAGTAATTTATACTTGGGTCAATCCTGAAATAAACAAACACAAATTTGAACTTAAAAAATTAGTATTCTGACAAATGCTAAAAGAAATGTTACCCACTAAATGGATAAAACTGTAACACACAGCTACTAACAAGTCCCCTATTTTATTATAGCATCATTGACATTCAAACAATCCCCAAGACTATGAAAGTTGTGGACTCAGAGAACCAGAAATGAACGACTCATTCATCAGAGACTGATTAGGCGCTTTCAATAGGATTAAGTATGGGACTCCTCTGTTTTTCAAGGAAGTAAATCATCACCTACATTTATGTCTAGGAACAATAAATAGTAAATGAGTCACCTCCTTTCTATTCTTAAATAAAAGCAAGGCAAATTGGTTATGAAAATAACACATGAATTTAAAAAGAAAAAACTAGAATAATTTAAAACTGCCAAATAAAGGCGTGATTCAACATGGACATTATTTAAAGTTGAGCATGTATATAGATGCAAACTTACCATTTTAAATACTTTGGCAGGAACTGCACTAGTTTGAGTAGCATCCAGATACTCTGTCCAGGAAAAATTTTCTGGATCAGGATAACCTGAGAAATACATATAAATATCAAAAGATTATTTATTGATATTTTGATTCCCATATACTATAAGACATCTGGTAACAAAATCACCTACTCTTAATTGGATGCTCACTATTTAATAGCCCCCATGCTAAGAACTTCACATGTATTACTTAGCTGAAGACTATGATAACCTCAGAGAGGGCTGTTTTGCCCCACTATGGCACAAGAGCACTCATTCACTGGTTCTTTCATTCACTCAGCAAGGCTAAGCAGGTTGGCCAAGGTCAAATGGAGATGTGAGTACCTGGCAGAGCCAGCTCATGCCCAAAATCACAGTCTGATGTCGAACAATGAACTGAAAAGCTAATCCTTTCAATAATTCTGCATCTACTAGGGTTTTATTCTCATATTTAAATCTTTGTAATTCTAATATCACAGGTTTGCTATTATTACTGCAATTTAAAACATATAATATATATTGGTATAACAAACCATGAAGCACTCTCTTTCAAAAAAATTTCCATCTAATTGGGTTTCCTAATTCTCTGTGATCGTGTTATTTTATTCCTAATTACATTTGCCAGAGGACTGTGTACATTGTTGTGCTTTTTGTTTTTCCTTTCAAAGAATAAGTAGTTAGATTTATTCATCAGCTCTATTGTTTTCTTTTGTCTTTTCTAATTATCTCATTTGCTACTTTTACCCTTACTCCTTTCTTCCTCATATTTCCCTTAAATTTGTTTTATATTTACTTTGTCAAATTGAATGGTAAAAATGTTTTTTTTTAAAATAATAGAAGCATTAAAGCCTATGAACTTATCATCATTGTCCCTGAATGTAGACTTAGACCTCTAGACAAACTTTTACAAAATATTTTTCTTTTACTTTCTAAAATCAATTATAATCTTTGTCATCTTGATTTACTTATTGACCAAGTATTTATTTAGGAGATATCCCAGATGGTTAATTTTTGTGGTTGTTTAAAATATTAAAAATATTATCTAGTTTATCCCATCATAGTTTCAAAATGTCACACTGGTTGTACAATCCCTGTTTGGGAGACTTTAGAATTTCTTTTTGGTGTAATATAAGATCAATAATTTTCAAAAAATTTTTAAGTATATACATACACATACATCTGTATTTTAAGGTATAAATATGCATAATTCAATCTAAGTAGCTACATTATTTAAAAGTCTCTATTTTTTTTAAAGATTTTATTTATTTATTTTTAATGAGAGGGAAAGGGAAGGAGAAAGAGAGGGAGAGAAACATCAATGTGTGTTTGCGTCTTGTGCACCCCTTACTTGGAACCTGGCCCACAACCCAGGCATGTGCCTGACTGGGAATCAAACCGGTGGCCCTTTGGTTTGCAGGCCAGCACTCAATCCACTGAGCCACAGCAGCCAGGGCAAAAATCTGTTTATTTTGTTTTGAAGGAAAAGCCTGAAACAGTATATTAAAATCTCTAAAATAATTTTTCTATACTGTTCTTCAGTACTTTTGATAATTATTTCTTCATATTTGAACTTTTGCTAAAATAAAACGTTATGAAAAATATACAGACCAAGTAGATAGCTTGAAAATATCTCACAAAATTAGCATACCTGTGTAACCAGAACCCAGGACACATGCTCCCCACAGTGCTATCACAGCCCCACTTTCCTCAAAGAGAAAATCCAATGATGGCTTCTAACCTCCCATGTTAGTTCTGTTTGTTCTATTTTTTTATCCTTTGTAAAAATGGAATCATACAACACGTGCTCATGGGTTTTGTTCTGGCTGTGAGGTTTGTATAGACCACTGAGTACAGAATATTTGCTTTTCACAATTTATTTCTCTATTCTATTGGTGATGGTCATTTGAGTAGTTTCAATTTGGGCGCTATTATGGAAAGTGTTGCTATCAACATTCCAGTACATTCTTTTTGGTGAACAGAAGTATACATTTTTGTTGCCATGCATCCAGGAGTAAAACTGCTGGATCATGGGGTATTTTGCTTCATGTTTTGATGTTATATTATTTAGCATATAAAAGTATATGTAATGTTCACTATTAATTGCACTTCATATTTAATATAGACAAAATTTCCCTTTGGAGATATAAATTACTTTTTGCCTCAAATTCTTATTAAAAATTAAATTGTATGCCATCTTATTATTTTCTGCTTATGTGTACCTGATAAATTTTGCCCTTTTTTTCACTTATATCTTATTTTGTTCTAGGTGTATTTATGTTAACACCACTTAAATGGATTTTAAAAATCATTTGCATTTACTTTCCCAACTGATTTCTTTTATCTAACTTCTGTAAACATTTTTTTAAGCTGGGTTTTTTAGAAAGCTCTTTTAGAGTTTCTTTTGCTCTTTGTCTTTTTTTATATGAGTCATGTTATATACCTTATGTCTCAATATTTATTTCTGTACTTGCATTTACTTTTATAGCTCATATTTTTTTTTTTAAATGCCCAATCTCATTCATTGTATTTTGGATTTTCACATTTCTGAACAGGTTCTAAATGTGCTCATACCTTGCCCCGTCAGTGTTGAGGTCCCCTCCTTCCTGCCCCAAGTTTCTCGCTCAGGAGTCTGACCAGCAAATTCAGTGGAATGGGGCGGGGGGAAAGAAACAGTGTGGTGCACTAATGAATGGATACAAAGTGAATAAAAGAAGAAGCAATTAGTCCTGATCTGGCCCCTTGAAGACAACTGGCATGCTGCTGAGAGGAATTTTCCTTTTCCCTATTTTTGTAATTAGTAAATGAAAATACAAGCTTGTGGCTGTTTTATTTATTTATTTTTTAAGATTTTATTTATTTAAAGAGAGCATGAAGGAGGGAGAAAGAGAAGGAGAAAAACATCGATGTGAGAAAGAAGTATCAATCAGTTGCCTGTAGTATAAACTCCAACCTGGGACCAAACTCGCAACCCAGGCATGTGCCCTGATTGGAAATCCAACTGGTGACTATTCACTTTGCGCAACAACGCCCAACCATAGGGTCAGGAGCAATAATTGCCTCTATTTGATCTCCAGAAATTAGTTTTGTATGCATGAATAAGGGAAGGTATGTATTATGTATATATTCCTTGTTCAATGAACCCAAAGAAAAGGAAAATGTTTTATAGCCTTGGGAAGCTTGCAAAGCCACCTACTCCCACTGTCTCTCTCCTAACCCTAGCCCTGAGTTCCACTAGGCTCAGGGTGTCCAAAGTAGGGTAACAGAGGAAAGGCAGGGAACAGACCCATTCACAGAGCTGTGTGGCAATACCATGACAGATACTTAAATTCCAAGAGTTTACATTCCTATTTAAAACAAAAAGGAAATCCCTGGCCAGTGTGGTTCACTGGTTGGAATGTCATCCAACAATCAAAGGGTTACGGGTTCAATTCCCAGGGCACATGCCGAGATTTCAGGTTCATCCCTGATCCGTGGGTGGGTGGTGTCTATGAGGACAACTGATCGATTCATGGATGTTTTTCTCTCTCCCTTCTTGCTCTCTAAAAAAGCAAATGAAAATGTCCTCAGGTGAGGATTAAGAAAAAGGAAATATATGAGACGAACCCATAAAACAACAATAGCCTTTACCCTCTTCACTTGTCTCAAAGAAAGGCAACCTCCAATGGCTTCCATTTATTGGTAAGCAATATCTCGAGTACTCCATTTACACTGTCATTTATTCTTCACATCTGCCTGTGAGGTACACCTTTTTATCCTCATTTTATAAGTGATGTTCAGAGACCTTCAGCAGCTTGCAAAGTGTTACACAGTTGGGAAATGGGAAAAAACAGCATTTGAATAATTATATCTGACTCCATCATCTACATTCTTAATAACTGCCTCCCCCTAGAACTATAACCTACAGCATCATGATCCAAAGTGATCTATCCTTTTGGTCACAAGACTGAGTTTGTGCGCCCCCTGGAGGGAAGGGTGTAGTATTGCGAGGTAACAGGGTGGGAACAAAGACTGCTCCACTAGAGACCATACTACATAGGGTGGGGCAAAAGTAGGTTTATTGTTGTTCATATGGAAAATAATATAACAATTAATAAATAATACAAGAACAAACTCTTGTTTTGTGTACTCACAACTGTAACTTACTTTTGTCCCGCTCTGTAGGTGTAAGCTTATTTATTCATGTCCTACCTTATTCCACACTACTTAAGAGTTTAAAAGTTCAGAGATGGACAGTATCTGAAGAAAAATGAAGTTCAAGCTGTGGCTGTGGGCATAGGTGGCTGAACCAAACAAGGGAAAAGGATCAATGAACCACAAAGCAGGGCATCATACAGGCAGCCCCACACTTCCCCATGGTGCCAGCAGTTCTCTGGGATAAGAGGAAGATCTGGGTGACAGCATCTTCAATTCATGTTAGAGATTAACTAGAAGGCAAAAAGATTACAGCAAGAGAAGGGACGAGGTGTGGTGGAATAGAAGAGTGTGTGCCCTCAGGGAGGTGAAACCTAACCAAATGAGAATGGTTTTAAGAAAAGCAGTGGGACTACTTGGGGATATGGCAAAAGGTGCTATGTCCTCTATGGGCTGAGGTAAGTAGCAGCCTCAAGAGGTGCAACAGAAGATGCCCTGTGTGAAAAAACTGGGATAGGTGAAAGCCAATTCCAGGGCTTGGAGTTGAAGGGACTTATTTTTTTTTTAAAGTCCTTAAACAGAATATAAATATGGGACAGTGCAAAAAAGAGAGAAACTTAAGGTCAAACCAAGTTAAATACAAGTGAAAAAAATACCTAAATCATGTCATTCCAATGGATTCCTGTATTACTCAGGAAAAAAGCAAGTCCTTATAATGACCTGTAGACCTCTACATAACATGGCTCATTACTGCCCTGATTTCATCTCCCTTTCACTCTACTCCTCTAAGGAGAAAACAGCAGACTTGTTCACTCCTCAAGTTCTTACATATGCTGTTCCTTTACCATGAAAGATCTGTCCATGGATTGCCCAGACTCCCCACTTCACCCCCTTTAAATTGTTGCGCAAATGTCACATTCTCGGTAAGTTCTTC